TCTTAGACAGGAGATCTTTTATCTTAATCTTAGATTCTTTAAGAGAAATATCTTTGCGAGTAATCTGGGATGTTAGATTATCTAACTCTGAGTGCAATCGTTTAACCTCATCTATAAGCTGGAAAGCGTGCTTGGAGAGTTTCTCTTTATCTTTATTAGATTGTTTTAGATCACATTGTATACGCTTATTGTCTTTATCCAAGACAGAGCATTTATTAGAAAGTCGATTGCCACACTCTATAGCAATTTCTCGATCTTGATTTGCACAAACAAGCTGGTTTTCAAGTTCTGTTCGGCTAGGTGGATATCGATTAGATGGTATACTCCCGAGTTTTCGACATTCACCTATATTTGATAAAGTATGAATTCGAGACATACTTCAGCTAAGTAAATATAAATATAAATCGTTAAAAAAATCAATACTTATACAAGAAAATCGATAGATACTGGTACCTTTATATATGAAATTTATTAATATGTTTCAATATCTACCAAAAGGAAACAATACATAATAATGCCTACTAAAAAGAAACAATACTTATTGATATATATTAGATGCTTACTAAAAAAAAAACAATACTTATCGATATATATTGACATTGTAGTAACATTAATATGTTTTAAAAAATATTGATACTTTTTTTTTCTATAATATATTCTAACTTAAAAATAGTCAATCGTCTTCATCAAACCTTCTATCGATCTAATGCGATCCGATTATCAGAGTCTGATATTAAGGAGATTAGTGATTCGAAAGGAAAAATTCCAAATGCATCAAAAAAAATGGCTGAAAAATTTCATATTGGTGCCTGCCATGTATATGAGATATGGGAACATAATGAACGTTTCCAACAAGGTCTTGATAATCAAAATGATTTCTTATTACCACCTGACTCAAATGAAGGTCTCACATTAGATAAGTCTCAAACTAAGAAGATTCTAGCTAAGGAAACATCGACAAAAAAGATTAGCTGAAAAAGGAAAGTTTCATCAGATTCACATATAGTAGGCTCGAAGAGTGATAGCTCTGCAATAGAAAAAAATACCTCTTCTATAGATAGGTTCAAAGAACCACAGTATGCACAAACTTTGTTCGATACATCTAGAAGAAAAGCAGATCTTGAAAAATTAATGAAAGATACTGAAAGATTAGCTCCTATATGCCCGTCTT